TCACACAGTCACCACAACACAACAACATAATAACACCACAGACCATACCACAGCCACGACAGACCACATAACACACACAACCGCACCACCACCCACACGCCGCCGCCAACAACTCCTGGTTCCCCCTACAATCTGCACGGTATGTCAGACCAGGATATTCCGTAATGTGACATCAGTCAAGTGCAACACCTGCCTTGGCAGGTGCCACTTTAGGGCATGCTCAGGTCTGCGTACCACGTGAGATTGTACTGGGAACTCCGAGGGCCCGTGTTGCGCTGCTCGGTCGCAGACCCCAACTGCGACGCCTCCCGCCACCACCACAGGGCGGCAACCATTACAGCAGCGCACACAGCCAACGGCGGTAGGAACACACACATCACTTACACCCCACATCACGACACGTCTCCCGAACCACATGAAGCTCCTTCAATTTAACTGTAACGGGCTACAGAGCAAGATTGAGGAGATAACCGTCTTCATGTGTCAGCATGGTATATTGATAGCTGCGGTCCAAGCGACGAAGTTGCACAGTAATTCAACTTTGTTGAATTGGGCCGGATACAACGTGCACCGTCGAGATCGCGAGCGAGATAATGGTGGTGGCTTAGCGTTCATCACGCACCACACCGTGCAGTATCGTCTTATCGAAGCAGACATCGACCGCAGGGATACCACCCTAGAATGTCAGGGCATCGCTATCCGGTCAGGCGATGTTGAGCTCGAAATATTTAACATATACATACCCCCTGTCACCTGCTGGCCGGCAGGATATCACCCTGACATATGTGCGCTCCTCAGAGGTGAAAACCGTATGGTAGTGGGTGACTTTAATGCGCACCACGATCTTTGGCACTCAAGCCTGTCAAACGATCGTAGGGGAACAGACTTGGCTGAGCAGATAGACGATTCGACATTCTGCACAATGAACGACGACGCACCCACCAGGATTATGGGTAACTGCAGTAGCTCGCCAGCCATCACCATAGTCAGCGCTGGTCTGATAAACAGCATAACATGGCGACCTATGCTGACTTTAGCATCAGACCACCTACCCATAGTCATCTCGATAGATAAACCAACCGACTTTGCCTCCGCCAAACCCCGGACCTATATCAACTTTTCTAAAGCTGATTGGAAAGGTTACGCGGAGTTTTCTGAAAACACCTTCACAGCGCTCCCCACACCAACCGACGTCCATCTCGGTGAACGTAAGTTCCGCAGGGCTGTCACTACTGTTGCAGCTCGCTTCATACCGGCAGGATGTATAACGGACCCACGTCCAAACTTCCCTGCCGAAGCGGCTGTTCTAGCCGATCAGCGTGATAGCCTTCGTCAGGCCGATCCCGGAGATCCCCGTATCAGGGATCTCAACGCGGAGATTCGGCAACTAGTAAACGTACATAAGCGGAAGAAGTGGGAGGAGCATCTGAAGACCTGTAACTTCACCTCTAGTGTGAGCAAGCTTTGGTCAACCGTGAGGTCGCTGTCCAATCCGACGAAGCACGACGACAGGGTCGAAATTTCCTTCGGCGACCATGCTTCGTCGGGCCCGGAGCGATACGCGAGCTATTTTAGCCGGCAGTTCATACTGCATCCTCCGGTGGACA